TTCAAGTGATAATATGACTGATTTGTTCACCAAATCTCTACCAACATCAACCTTCAAGAAACTAGTGTACAAATTGGGATGCGAAGACTCAAGGATGTGAGTTGATGCTCTCATCAGGGGTAGTTAATACGCGTTGTACTTTTTTTCCCTTACAAGGTTTTGTCCCACAGGGTTTTCCTTGCAAGGTTTTTAACGAGGCAACCAAAAGGCGTATTTCTAAACATGTGTACTCTTTTTCCTTCACTAGGATTTTTTTTTTCATAGAGTTTTTTTTCCTAATAAGGTTTTAACGAGGCACATTATCTTTGGACATCCAAGGGGGAGTGTTATGATAAATATTACATTATGGTGGATGTCTACTCTTCTTCCATGATCTCAAATGCTTAATGATATATTCAATGACATATTTTGTATGTTCAATGACATATTCCATGACATATTTTCTTCACTTTTTATGCCTATATAAAGGCCTTGTAATAGATAGGAAAATACACACAATTGAAGAAGAAATAAGAATCTATCTTCCTCTCTTTCTATCTATATCTCTTAGTTTGTTTTGCCTGTTCTATATTGTTATTTTGGGTTATATTTTATAACAGGAGTTTTATCTAGGCAAAATAAACACTTTTAGTACTAATCCTTAAAATTAACGGTTGGCTTCCTAAAGAAAATGTTAATATCGAAAAAGAAAAAGAAAAAGAAGAGCTTCTCTTTTGTTCTCTTCTTTGTAAAACCCCGTCAGGAGTACTAGCAGAAGTGACCACCAGTCGCCGATTGTCGGAGAGCATTCCCGGAGATCAGTGATCGATATCTGTCAAAATCATTTTTTTATTTTTTTGGTGTGCTCGGAAAACCTTCTGTTTCTACTTCAAGCATCTAAGGCTTTAATTCAATGCTCTTTCTTTTCGTTGTTCTGTTCTGAAATGTGAATGAATTTTCAATTCAATGTTGCAGGAGTTTTCGTAGGGGAAGGGAAGTTGGATATGTCAAGGTTTCGCTCGCTATTGCAAGCATCGCTGAATGCTACTAGAAGAGGTATTTCACCATTACCGACCTGATTCCTTTCTAGTTTTAGCAGATGCTTTTCATTTCTATTTCTTGTTACCAAATACTCCTAGGATTTGATGTTCGTCCATTTCGTTATCCTCTTAGTTGACACGAGACGGAATATATATTTATCCCAGCTTGTGATGCAAAAATGCAGAATCACAAGTGAAAAACTCGCAGAAAATACCAAAAGCAGTGAGAACTTCGAAATGACTAGGCTATGAACTAACGAATGAGCTAAGGGAATCTAAATTGGCAGCCAAAGAATGAGTTTAATTGATATGGATTGGTATTTATACAACAGATAGAGCAACTAAGAATCTTGATTGATATCTACAGTCAGTTACAAATGAAATCCCAGCTAACTCGTCAACACTTCTCCTTCAAATTCACCTAAGTGCCACAAAAAAACCTTATATGTGCTGCACTTAAGATACATCTTGGTTAATTGCATTCACCATATTATTTTTATGTTTAAAAAAAAAAGGCAGCTTTGACATTTAATGAGAATGCTTGAATGGGAATCCTTTTAGCAACTGACTATAGATTTGAGTCTAAACCGCTGCAAGAGGAGAGACCATTTTCATGAGAGAGGGACGAGCAAGTGACAAATTGGAGGAAAAAATATGTAGGCCGTCTGAGACTCTGAGCGGTCATTTAGGGGCCTTGTTAGCGAGCCATCATTCTTTCCTAAGTTGTCAGGGTCCAATTGAAGCGAGCAAGGGATAGAGAAATCCTCACTCATAGATGTGAATTGAAAAGGCAAGCCCGTTTCAGACTCTGGTTGTTCAGTTATTTTAACAGGTTAATGCTTTTGGAAGTCATTTTAGTTTCAGCTAGTTAGGCCACTTTGAAATGTATGGATTTTTTCTTCAAAGTCTTTTCTTGGTTGCCTGACAGTTAAAATGGTCATGCTTTCTTTTAGTTTACCATTTCTCACAGATCAGTCAACATAAGTTGTTAAAATGGCTAGGTGATGGGTGAGAATTCCTATCACCTTTAGAAACTTAGATATCTCTCTGGATGTCCTTTCACGTGTATTGTGGAGAGACTTCTATGTATAACAGGAGTTGAATGAGGTTTAAAGATAAAAATGACTGACCTAGGAGTTTTTGACAGCATTTTGCCAATGATGTAAAAGGAAGAAGAACGGGAGCCTAGAGAACCTTTTTGAGCTGCACAACTCCTTTGACGTGCTTAGCTACAGAGATTAATTAACTTGCCTTGTCATGTTCTTGTGTTTTTCCTCCTACTTCTTGCTTCGTTAGTTCATGATGGTGTTTGTATTATCTTTTGGGGTTTGTGATGATCCCTATCTAGCTTCCTCATATTGGCTAGTAGTTGATTAGTCTTATGTTACACCGGCCATGACGTATGGGGCTGAGTTTTGGCCAGTTAAGAACTCACGTATCCAGAAGATGAAAGTAGCAGAAATGAGGATGTTGAGGTGGATGTGCGCGCACACGAGGATTGATAAGATTAGGAATCATGATATTCAGGAGAAGGTGGATGTGGTTCCCATTGATGACAAGATGCGGGAAGCGAGACTCAGATGGTTTGGGCACGTACATAGGAGAAGCCCAAATGCCCCGGTAAGGAGGTGTGAGCGGCTGGCTTTGGAAGGCACGAGAAGAGGTAGAGGGCGGCTTAAGAAGTATTGGGGAGAGGTGATCAGACAGGACATAAGTGGCTTCAGATTTACGAGAAGAACATGGCCCTTGATAGGAAGCTGTGGAGGTCGAGTATTAGGGTTGTAAGTTAGGAGTTAGTTTAGTCTATTTCTACTTTGTACCTATATGAGGCTAGTCTGATAGGATTTTTGTCTTAGACAACTAGTGGTTAATGTTGTGTTCTCATTACTCTTTCGTTTTTCATAATGCGGGGTCTATTTACCGGCTATTGCTTTTCATCTATTTTCTGGTCTCTGTTGATGGTACTTGTATATTGTCTATTTTCGTTTTCTTGAGCCGAGGGTCTTTCGGAAACAACCTCTCTATTCCCTTGGGGTAGGTGTAAGGTTTGCGTACTCACTACCCTCCTCAGACCCCCACTAGTGGGAGTGAGATTTTACTGGGTCGTTGTTGTTGTTGTTATTGTTGATCAGTCTTATGCTAAGTATGTAACGATGTATCTTTCTTGAATCAGCATGTCAGAAAACTGGTGCTCTTTCTTTATTACTTCTGTTTCTATCAATTATAGTAACTTTCAGTTGGTAATAACTTTCTTCACTTGTAGCACTCACGTGGAACATTGAAGACCTAGTTCCACCAAGTGAAAGATACATTTTCAACTTTAATTCAAAGGATGAGCTCAAGAAATGGCATTTATACTCAGATTCAGAATATGGAGGTATCCAAACCTAATATACTTCCCTTGCATGTTAGTACCAGTACTTGGTAATAGCTGAGCAGAGCTTTTTTTGGGTATTATTCCAATCTGTTGAATTAGTGGAATTAGTTTTCCTGATTACTCTCCTTCAATTGTAGCTTTCATGGCCTTATGTTGCATAGGGTTTTTTCTCAGCTCTACAGAACATATTGTTCTTTTCTTTTCTTTTTTTGATGGGTTACAGAACATATTGTTCCATTTTCTTGAATATCTTATTACGAAGCCTGTGTTGCTTGGTTTTACCCAATATGATAGTCTTTCATATCAGCATTTATCACGTGAGGCACTCATAATTTTATATTAGTTTTATTGTACATCAAAATGATTGTATTTAAGGAGAGTGCCTAAGAAATGGACCAGTTACAAAATCAAGCAATGACTACAGTCTCCAAGAATCAAGCTACCATATAGACACTGAGGAATTTCTTCCTTTGACCAAATGTTTACTGAAATTAAAAATTGAGTTAGTGACTAATAAATATCCTGATGATAATATGTCAGGTCTATCCTCAGCAGCTTTGGAGATTAAGGATACTGGAAATGGATCAACAAATGTTGGTAAATTATTTTAACCGCGCATAATGTCTTCTTTGTTTCCTTTTTGTTCTTCCTTTTTTGGTATTTGGTTATTTGTTTGGTCTAGTGAAACAATGTAGAGATAAAATGCTGTTGGAGTTTCTTTTTCCCTTTTAATTGTTCATAATCACTTATAAAATCCTTAGGGTTTTTTTCTCTCACTTTATCTTTAGGTTACTTTTCTGCATGTGCTCTTTAAATGCCTTCAAAAGCTGTATAGTTCTTTGGTAGATTTTTTTTTTCCTGAAAACATAACAGACAATTAGTTTTACAGTTCAAATAGGAGTTAATTTTTAGCAAAGAAATGTATGGGATAGGCGCATGTTACGAGTTCGAACCTTGTTGCAGACACAAGTCTAGTATTTAAGTGGAGAAGGGTAGAGGGAGGGACCCTCCCCCTCCGCCCAAGTTTCGAACCGTGTGCCTTTGGCCCTTGGAGATTATCAATTATCAAAGAAAAAAAGTATATTAGTTTAGTAGTTAGAGCATAGCATTTTATGTATTGGTTAGGCGCACGTCACGAGTTTGAACCTTGCCGTAGACAAAATCCTTTACATTTAAGTAGAGAACGGTAGAGGGCGGGCTCATTATCTATTGAGTTTGAAACTGTGCGCCTCTGGCCGTCAGAGATTTTTCGGTTATAAACAACAAAATATATATGTAAAGCTAGATATATAATAAAATGGAAAAAAAATTATTTGGACAGATAATTGAAAAAATATAATTGTGTGAAATATATGAAGTAAAAATCATGTCAACCAAGTTAAAAAGCATTTTAAATTTTTGATTAGATGTAAAGATGAGCTTTAGATTTCTTTAGTGATTATTGTTTTCATTAAAATTTCTATTTTTTTTCCTAAATGCTAAAAAAATCATTCTGAACATTTGTGTTAAATTTATATATTGAATTGCCAATTGTATTTGTTGTCTATTTATTGCACATTTGCACTGACAAAGCTCAAGAAGTGCATGTCACTGTTTTGATGCTTCTACTTATTAAGTGCCACCTAAGCGAGGATAAGTGTCCAACCTTAGTCTCCGCTAGCTTCAGGGCGTAAATGAGCCTTTAACAATATTGGTTCGAGATAGTGAGTGTAGTAAATTCTCACTAGATAGGAAAGGCAAATCAAACGGTTAATTACTGAGCCCTATAGTGGCATTTGTCTAAGTGCAAAAACTGCTAGTTGTATGCAATACTGCTCTCAAACCATCAACTTAAAAATTAATTGGACTCTATACCACAATAAAATGGTCACAACCATCTGAGCCTTGAAAAAAAAAACTATCTGAGCCTTTTTGATGAATGGAGGTGATGTTTAGCCAAAAGAGCGATGCAACTATTAGAGTTTTTACAATCTCAAGTTCCTCACAGGAAAGAATTATGGATGCATTGCCAGCTATGCTAAAGTTAAAGTAAGCAGATGAGCATTTTGAAGTTTCTGTCTTAGTAAGCTAAAGTCTAGAAACTTTATCTTAGATTTAATCAAGGTATTGAGACATAGTGACTTCTCTACATGTCTGAATTTCTTTTGGTTAATTTCTATGTCAAAACGTATATAATTTGATTGTGTACCACCACCTGGGGGACTTTAAACATTAAGCTTTAATTGCTCCTACGATACTGAAAGTATTTGATGCTTAGCTTGTTGGGATGACAATGTTGCATTTTGCGTTGCTGTCTTTTTATGCCAATTCATCTGCTTGGAAGAAGATTGGCTTAATTCTCTTGCTGAAATTGCTAGGGTGTGCAATGAACTAACTGATGGAAAATATTTAAAGCATGATATTTCTATTTCTACCTGTACTCGCAGAGCATGTCACGACCCAAGCCCAAGGCACGTATTGTCCGCTTTGGTCTTAGGCCCGTACGGATTTGTCTTTTCGGGCTACGCCACATCGAGCCCCAAAAGCGCGCGTACCGTGTGAACTTGTGTCATGCTTTAGAAAGCTCCACTTTCCTATCCCATTTCGATGTGGGATTCGCCTAGGGTGACATGTGCACTCCTTTTTAAAAGCTTCCAACCTAGACCCGCCCTCCGTCATGGGAATCACATTCATCCCCCCTCCTCCAGAACTCAACGTCCTCGCTGAGGTTTGCCCCACTATCGCACTGAAGGAGACTCGGCTCCTAAGTTGCGCACTCTTTGATTTTGGTGTCGTCCCCGTCACGATTACGAGACGGGGACGAGAACAGGAGTGGGATATGTTCCGGATTCGATCAACCGACTTTGGGCACTTTGACCGGAGTCTATTGACAAATTTGGGAGAAAAATTGAGATTTTGATTTCTCAAAATCAAAAATAAAACAGATTTAGGAGAGTGAAAGAATAATGTCCATCTTGGAGAATGAAAGATTGAATTCTACAATATTCATGAAAGTTTTTCACATAATATCTCTCAAAATTTACAATATTTTTATAGCTCTATTTTTTATTAGCAGAATCCCCGCACCTGTATACATATCCGGATCTGCACCCTCGAATCTTAAAATTTAGATTTTGCCGAATCCGATACTCGGATCCGTCCCCGTACAGGATACCCACACCCGAGTCCGAGCAACTTAGCTTGGCTCTGATACCATATTTGTCACGACCCAAGTCCATGGCACGTATTGCCTGCTTCGGGACTAGGGCCGCACGGATTTGTCTCTTCGGGCTATGCCATATCGAGCCCCAAAAGCGCGCATACTATGTTAACTTGTGTCATGCCTTATAAAGCTCTTCACCTTCTTCCCCCATCCGAGGTGGGATTCGCCTAAGGTGACATGTGCAGCCCTTCTTCAGAAGCTTGCCAGCCTAGAAGTCTACTAGTCTTGCTCGACTTGCGCTCTTCAGCTCGCCCTCCGCAGAGCATACCAGTCCCAAGTCCCCGATAAGGAAAGAGCATTGTAATGAGTAGCAACCAATGTAAAAATAATCAAATTCCAAGGGTTCTTATAGCCTATCCAACTTTATGGTCGAGAAAAATTAATTGATTTATCTCATCTATATGCAGCTGTCACTATAATTGGAGTAGCATTGTCCGGGGTCTTAGGTGTGTATATGGAGAAAGCCATTGACCTCTGTGACTTCCGCTGAACCTACAATTCAGCTAAATCATTTCTTTTTTCTGCCACACCTATGTCTCTTCTTCAACCTTTTTTCTATTGTAGTCAATTTTTTTGATAATAATTCTGAAATTATATCAAAAGATGTTACTATAATAGTGTTACTTTTCTTGAGGTTCACATTTCGAACATCGAATATATATAGGTTTTTGGTGTTTCTGGCAGGTGTTTTCTCCGGAAACCTCTCTTTGGATGTCATGGAAGGATCAAAGTGGAATATGACTCGAAGTGGCTTTTGTGGAATGCGATCTAAAAAGGTGAATGCTACTTAACCATCCAAATAAATGCTTTCTGAACTCCTGTTTTTGCTGTTTGATAATGAAAAGTAACAGATGCAAGATGAGATATTGAAGAAAGAGATGAGAAAACCCTAGAACACCGAGAGAATAGAGAGGGAGAATGAGAGGACTTTTCGGAAAACCAAACTGAGAAAATAAAAACTGTTTATATTTACATCAGAAAATAAAAAATACATGGGAACTGAAAAACAAAGTAGATAAATAATGGGTGGGTTCAGCATCTCGATCAACTTGAGCCATCTGCACATCTTGTACTTGGGTCGTCTCTAACAGTTAATCATACGTTATCTTTGTTTCCTTTGTGATTGTGATAGGTCTTCTAATCAAAAGTGCTTTGTTCACTTTAATTTGCTCAAATCAATAGATTGTGGTTGTCAGTCCCATGCGATGATATGTAGAAATGAAACCTTTGTTATTTTCTTTAATTGGCTCTATCAAAAGAGCGATTAGTGTTTCTCATAGATCAGGCACTACCGGTGAAACTTCACAAAATCCCCTTGCCTTAATGCCATTAGTATAATTCACATATCATTTTGAATGTGCCTAGACAATATATAATATTACTAAAAGGGCAGCCCGGTGCACTAAGCTCCCGCTATGCGTGGGGTCCGGGGAAGGGCCGGACCACAAGGGTCTATCGTCGCAGCCTTACCCTGCATTTCTGCAAGAGGTTGTTTCCACGGCTCGAACCCGTGACCTCCTGGTCACATGGCAGCAACTTTACAAGGCTCCCCTTCAAATAATATAATATTACTAGATAGAGGAAATGGTCTGTTGTCTGTCAGTGGCTTCTCCATCTGATTTCTTTTTCCTGCAGTTTGATGGCTTCATTGATTTGGATGGATATGACACGATAGCTCTTAAACTTAAAGGAGATGGAAGATGTTATATTTCTACTGTAAGTTCTGTGTCTTGTCTGTAGTTGGTGATTTTTTAAGCACATCTATATTTTGATGCTTTCATGCTTGGGATGTCCATGTTTTCATTGAGCTGCTGGTATTCGTATGTAGGGCTGCTCGGTGGGCCGGGCCTGAACCGGACCGGACCGGGCCCGCGGTCCTAACGGGCCTGGTGGGCCGGTCCTGGGTGGGCCGGTCTTGGTGGNGGCCCGTTAGGCCCACTAAGGCCCGGGCCCGGGACAAAATACAGCATTATTCGTATGTGGATGAACTGTGGAATAATCTTATCTCACTCAAATCTAACTGCAGATATACACAGAGAATTGGGTCAATACTCCTGGACAAGATGAAGATAATTCATGGCAAGCATTCATTTTTGTGCCAAAAGAAAACTGGTATATTGCAAAAGTAAGTTCTTCATTTCTTTCATCCTTTTAGCTATATCTCATTGCAGAAGGTTAAATTAAAATACTTGTTCACTTTGTGGAAAGAGAATGACATATTGACATGTAGATTGCTTTATTGGCTGTGCAGATCCCACTTACTCGTTATGTACCTACTTGGAGAGGGAACATGATAAATGCAAAGTTGGAGATGAATCCAGCTCGAATTCTTGGCATGTCTCTATCTGTCAACGCAGAAGGTGGAGTTCCAGGTGCGAAGTCTGGGCCTGGTAATTTCCAAGTGGAAGTTGATTGGATCAAAGCCTTGCGGATGCAGTAAGCAAAAGTGGAACATCTTAAAGAATTATTAAAGTAGGCTGGGATGTTTGGGGCATCCACGCTCACCAGTTGAGCAAGATTGTGGAAATGCCATTCAGAGATGGAGAAGATACAGGTTCTTTTTCTATGTACCTCGGAGGAAAAGAGAGAATTGAGCTGAGGAAAGGAGTGAAACCTTAAGATGCAGTTTGCTTAAATGCAGTGACTACAGGCTCCACACACCCAATTCAAATTATCAGATTTTTCTCTTGTAATAAATGGGGCTCTTCAATTTTTCTCTAGCCTATCAACTAATATGTTTAATAATTATATCCTTGTCTGTTACAAGGTTTGGCAATCAAATATTTCAACAATGGGCTTGGAATCGGTTGTACTGTTACAAGATTTAATTTCAATTTACAATGTTAACTACCAAAGCAAATTCCTATTAGCATAACAATGATATCTACGATACAAAATCATGTCAGCCTAAAGAGACATACCTTATGTCAAGATAGACACCAAATCTGTCAATTTCATAGCTAAATCAGCATGCCTTCTCAATACCATATGATTTTTATCAGAAAAAATGCACAGTTAAAAATGACGGCTGTGGGATTTGAACCCACGCCCTTTCGGACCAGAGCCTAAATCTGGCGCCTTAGACCACTCGGCCAAACCGTCATATGGTAAACTGGACTCCCTAAATATCTTCCATTCAGAGATAAAACCGAGAAACCTAATCAGTTCTGTTTATCGGATAAATTGGGTAAATATTTATATTTAACGGTTTGTCTTATCGGTTAGCAATTTGTAAATGTACTATCCGTTAGCCACCCAGTAAAATATTGGACGGATTGGTATCGAATTAGCGATTTATCGGCTAATCAAATAGACAATAAAAATTACATAAATAAGTAAGACATTAAACAATAGATAGACGATCCAATCACAATCACAATCACACTCCAGTACGCTAATGATGCTCTCATTGTTAATGATAGTTTCTTCTTCTTTAATTCTTATACAATAAGCAAGCTAAAATATAAATAGAGGATCCCTAACCACTAATAAAATTCAGTTAACATAAATTCTGGATATAGATTTGCTTCAATTACCAAGCTAAATGATTTATTTGAGCAGAAAGATATCAAACTATCCAGATCCGCATACTCCTACCCCCAAAACAAGTCATAATGACGTTGAAGCTCAAGCTGCTAAGAAGTTGCTTCATAATGGGTAAAAATATAAATATAATAATTTTTAAAAGGTTAACGGTTTATTTGATAAGAAAATTAAGTAATCTGCTCGATAAATCATTAATTATAAAATTTTAATATATTCAACAACCATTAATCTAATAATTCGATATTAATAAGTCATTAAGTCATTATTGTAGTTCAGTTAATAAATACGATTCGATTTTGAACGGTGTTGATCAGTTTGACCATAATAAGTAATTGTGTGACAATATTGTCAAGTCAAACCAAAAGAAGTTCGGTGATATGTATACTAACTTATATACGCGTCTCGTCTTCATAGCATCATTTTGGTTTAAAATCATGGACTCAAATTGATTCCTAAAAGTGATGTACGATGACTACACTATGTAATAGTCACATGCGCAACAGCGCAAGAACTTGAATAATGAACTTATTTATTTAGAGGCCGTTTGCTAGTTGGTCAGGATAAAAGTTATTCATGTATTGGGGCGATATAACTTATACAATGTTTGGTAGCCATTAGCTATTTTGTACAAAATTTAGCATAATTAATATATCATGTTTGGTTGTTATTTTACAATTCTACATAAATAATATATGTATAAGTTATGAGTCAGTCCGTGTATTATTTTATAAGGAATAGAAGATGGAATAACTAATACATGCATTAGTAATACATGGATAAAATATTGAAATAGCAAATTTACCCCTATCACTTTACACATAAAGGCTTCCTTCAATAGATTGATCTGTATCAAACTTTTCGGAGAGCAAGCATGTAGATATTGATGCATCACTGCTAGGCTCTTCCTCTTCTCAATCTATTATTAAAGACAAAATCAATAAATAAGTATTTTACTTTGAAATTTATATAATGTATATCAATTTCTAATATAACAAACCAAATATTCAAAAAAACAATCCTCACGTAATCAATTCATGTATAACTAATACTTGCATTACTTGTTCTTGCATAACTAATATATGTATATCTAATACCTGCATAACTCTAACCAATAACTAAACGACCACTAAGAGTTCTCGAAGTGTCCAACATAGTATAAAGTGGTAAATGAACAATAAAGTAGACAAGGGTGAAGCTAGCCTATTAGGTACATGTTCAATCGAACTAAATAACTTTTGCTTAGACTTTGTATTTATATTAGAAAATTTATTAAATATGTATAATATTTAATTGTGAATTCAGTAATTAAGACGAACTATGAGTGTTGCGACAAATTTAGAACCCATAAATATTAAATCTTGATTTCGTCTTAGAAACAAATGCAATTATTTCTTTTTTAAGATTTTAATAACTAAAGATTCTATTGATATTTGTATACCCCAGAATTAGAGTAGCAATTGTGCTTCCTAAAAGTTTCAAAAGTGTTTTTTGAAGAAAAAAACGTTATTTTTTGTGCGATTATTCACAAGCACTTATTTTTTTCCTAAAATCTTGATCAAACACCTCAAGTTTCTAAATAGGTACTTTTTTATTTAATAAAAAAGGTGCTTTTTTTAATTTCCGATAAGCTTGGCCAAATATGCTATTAGTTGTACGAAGATTCAGAGTGAAAATAGCACGGGCTAGCCAGTTTTGGGACTGGTCATTGAAAATAGTCAGCGTAGTTAGTGAAAAATAGCCACTATTTTGCCGCAACACGGAAAGTTCCAGCATAATGTGCTGGAGATCGATGCACCTATATAGGAACTTCCAGCAAATTTTCAGTACATACACATGTGCACCAATCTCTAGTATATTATGCTGGAACTTTCTGTGTTGCGGTAAAATAGTGGTTATTTTTCACTTACTTTACAAATGCTGGCTATTTTTGAATGACCAATCCGAAAACTGGTTAGCCCGTGCTATTTATACGAGTTGTGTTCCTAGTGTCATGTCCAGTAGCCCATCGTAAAAATTGCACGGGGCACCCTATTTGGTCGCCCCCATTTAACTTATACCCATTTTTTTTAAAACTTTTAACTTGTACCCACTTTTTAAATAACCTCAGCCCCCTTTCTCCTCCTCCTTCCCCTTTCTCCTCCTCCTTCTAACTTTTACCTTTTATGTACTACGTATTTATTTTTGGTGCTCAGCACACATTAAAACAATTTATGTTTGCTTTAAATGTACATCTGTATTCTGTAATATAATACCTTTGAGGTTGTTGTTCTACTCATAATAAGAATTTATGCTGAATACGCTTGTATATTGATAGTTCTTTATCTTTATCAGGTAGGTTTTAGAAGGGAACTTATTTAAAATAAAATTTGAATTCAAGAGTATTAATAATTCAGTAAGCAAAAAATAACTGGAGTTTAAAATTACAAAACGAAAGACAAAAAAGCAAAAGCTGAAGAAGAAAGAAAAGAACTGGAACACACAAACACTAGAAAGAAAAGAGAACTAAAATAACTTCAGCTCTAGAGCTGAAGTTCGACAGTTACAAAACAAAAACTTCAGCTCTAGACCTGAAGTTATTTAGTTCTCTTTTCTTTCTAGTTGATCAACCGCGAAACACCAAAAACAGTAGTGATTGCTTTCCCAGTTACAACACAAAAACTTCAGCTCTAGAGCTGAAGCTTACAAACAAAAACTTCAGCTCTAGAGGTGAAGTTTACAAACAAAAGCTTCAGCTCTAGAGCTCAAGTTCGACAGTTACAAAACAAAACTTCAGCTCTAGAGCTGAACTTCAGGCTCGGCTACTAGAATGCTGAAGTTTTGTGTGCCTTTGCTACTTCAGTCCCGTATGCTGAAGTTATGCGAAAAAGTGGGTACGCTTGCAATTTTTTTTACAAAGCGAGCACAAATTAAAACGTTACACAAAAAGCGGGTATAAATGCAAATGCCCCTGGCCCATCCATCATTGGACCATACTTAGCTTCGGCCTTTGGCCCATCCAATAAGTACACCTCCCTACAGGCAATCCATACAGCAGACCCATTTTCCATTTACAATCACAACACTCTCAAGCACAGAGCACTGAAAAAAAACCTAACTCGGAGAAAATGAGGCAATTCGATCCGTGGCCGGTCTTCTTCCGCCGTGAATGGAGCCGTAACTGGCCATTCCTCGTCGGCTTCGCCGTCACCGGCGCTATCATCACCAAGCTCTCCCTCGGTTTCACTGGTGAGCACCTACTGTATTACCATTAATTTATACATATATGTTTCAATCTCTATTTTTTTTATTATTGGAATCTGATTCTGATCTACGTAATGGCTGATTTTGCAGAGGAGGATAGGAAGAACTCTAAATTTGCGATGAGGCACAAGAAGTAAGTGTATTAATATCTTGAGATTTGATTTTGTAGATCTAGGACATTGACTGTTGGATTATGAATCGACGAGTGGTCTATTACGATTGACTTGCTTGGCAGCTTCGTTAAATCACAGTACTTATTTTTTTGTTTTTAGTATCTTCGTTAATTGAATGGTCAACGTTCTTTGCTTTATGGGCTTCTTAGTTTCTGTAGTAGCCCTAATTTGCTAGACGTAGTCTGGGATTAAGCCTTTGTTCATATCATTTCTAGTAAACAGGGTTTTGTGTTCGATGGGTGGGAGGAAACAGAAGATGAAATGTTTATGGTGCTTAGAGTAGAGTTGTGTTTTAATAGGAATGTTTTCAAAATGTGCTTCTATAGAAAAGGCTTGTGACTTGTTAGGTTTGTGAGCTTGTCACCGTATGACAAGAAAACAGAGATAAATACTAGAGTGTGATCCTGGGTTTGAGGTGTAGGATTATTTAGTGGACTGTGACTTAATTCCTTCAGGATAGTAGAAAAGAATAAATAGGAAAAGTAATGATATTCTGGTATCTAGAAATGAAAGTTTTGAAGGAAGTTGTAGAAAGTTGGGGGATATGTTGGGATAATAGAGAGGAGGCTATAGAACTGATGTTAAGTATTGAATGAGGGTAGTGGTCTGAGTAGCAGAAAATTTTCCGGTTAAAAAAAGGAGGTACCATGCATTCAGGATTCAGGAATATGACTGAATGGGTAATACAATTGATGAATTGATTTAGCTGTTAATATTATTAATCAATTTTTCAAGGGCTTAAACCACTCCGAGAGATCGGGTGGATTGTATAGCTACCTCTTCTCCCTTCTTGTACACGCTGTGCAAACTGTTACACTAATGTTTCTTTGAACATCATCTGATATTTGATGTGTACTGTAGTGTTGCTTGTACCATTTCTTTCTCCTTGGATTGTTTTCTCAGGGAATAGGCGTAAAGAGTTATTTGGTGATGTTACAGACATCTTTCAGTAATTGGAAATTATGATTTTATGTTTGCTAAAATGACCTTATTAAGGGATAGTGTTGCTGTTGTTAAGGTCTGAACCAATCTGGATACATTAAAGAATATTCTTCTTTTCAATATTTTGGACATGAAAGAATTGTTCTGTTAACAGTAGATTGGGAGGGGAATAATTCCTAGTGGATATTATGGGGTGTTGCATCATCACCAATTATTATTCTACTCTCTTCCTAATTTGTGAAAGAAATTGCATTCACCTCATTTAAGTTCCTGTATAAGATACTAGTAGAGTTGCTAGGTGGCATTGAAGTCAGTTCTATCCGTTCGCATGGGTTTTGTTTTTGAAGTCATTTGTCTACTCATATTTGCTTGTGAAGTCACTAAAATCTAATTTGTTATTTCTTCTTTCTTGCAGTTGATTCTGTATATGCTCAGTCTTCTTCTGATGGAGGCTACGTTGCCAGAGAGAGCCCTTTTTCTTTCTGTTTACTTCCTTTTCTAGACTGTCAAAGATAAATTTATGTTGCATAAAATGCCTCATGTTGGATAAACTTTGAGAGCTGTCTATTAACTGAAACCCGTGTTTGTTTGCTGGTCCTGCTTATCTTGCATTAATTTTTAGCTGGCTCCTCAAGTGTACGATTTACCTGTGTTTTGAAACTTTCTGAATGTTTCGTGCCTAATAAAGATGTCTTTTTTCTATGTATCCCAGTATTATAGCCACCCATACCGCTGTTGCTCATTCATGATTTTTCTGGCAATGGTTTAATCGAGTGCCAGGACAAGTTGAGTTACCATCTGCTTTTGTTGTTGCTTCGCAGACCTCCATGTCATCAATGGGTACAATTAATTTAATGATCTCAAACGGCTACATTTCTTTGCTTCCGACTCTTCTTGCTAGGTTCTTTTATTCTTTAACTGCCAAGTGTTAACAAGAAAATCTACTCCTGCTAAATCAATTTGTTTTTTTTTCTTTTTGTTAATGCATCCCTGCTAAATCATGCAAAGTAAATATCAAGAACAACCATGATTTGAAAATTCTCAAACTAATTTTTCTTGGAAATTAACAAGTGAGATCATCATTCCGATGCCTAAGGCTAAGGTTCACACAGAAATTAAAATTTCAATTCTTTCCGAATAGGTTGATTCTAGTTCAAGTTGGTTCTATTTTGCCTTGTACTGAACTGCAAATGTAGTGTTAAAAGGGTAAAAAGAAGGGACGAACATTTTCAAAATTTATATCTATCTGAGCTCTTTTTTAATTATTTAAAATTTTCAAAATCTACACTAGTGCTAGAAAACTATGAAAGCTATCCAAGTTTGCTCATCGATAGACATACAAAATCCGCTGCTCCAGACTAAACAAAGACAATATATGAAGTCGCAAACAAATTGGACAAACTGCAAAGGAATGTCATCTCAGAAACTAGCAATTCATTCATTACTTCAGTTACGACAATTTTCAGTCTTCACTTCGACCACTCGTAATTCTTCACTCCTCTAATTTGTGGTTAATCCATCTTTTTTCTCAAGCTCTTATCGATGGCTGTATATGTCGATTCACACAAATCGATCAACGTTTTCACACAAGTATTAATTAAAATTGATACAAAAATTCATCTTTCTCTTATGATAGTAGTAATATCCCCTCTTTTATTTTTCGAAAGAATTTCACCTTTATACAAAGTCGCTTTAGAAACCAATTTCTTAATAAACATTAAATCCAAGTTCGATTTATAAAGAAAGGAAAATCAATTAGATAAATAAACAATTATTTTAATGTTTTCAGAAAAGAGCAATGGCACCAAAGCAAGAAGAAGACGTCAGCAAGTTCTGTTACCATTTCTTGTTACCTTTTAATAAGTTTTGGCTACTTCATCGTTTTAATCATTTTGCTCGACAATTTCTCTTGTTCCTAGTTTTATCTGCGTATGTTGTGATTCTTGTCTGTCTCACTCTTCACTCCCTGCGCCGTAAGCTTCCAAAAACTCAAATAAAATGGCAGAGGATGAAGCAGAGTCAACACTTGAGCTGCCGGAGTGCCCAGTTTGTCTGCAACAATACGGCGACGTTTCAACCGTCCCTCGTGTAATCGCCTGCGGCCACTCCGCCTGCGAAGACTGCTTGACTCAGCTACAAAACCCCTTTCCTTGTACAATCCGCTGCCCATCTTGTACTCAGCTTGTGAAACTGCCCAACCCCATTTCCTGTCTCCCCAAAAACATTGATCTCTTGCGCTTCTCCACCCCCAACACTTCAAAGACTCCCAATAACCATGTTTCAACCGAAAAATATGATAAAGATCCTATTTTTATCAAACCCCATTTATGGTCTCATGAGTTTTACTCAACTTGGAGAACATGGGTTTTACCAGAGGATAGTATAATCATTGAATCAAATGGTTCTGATGATGATAATAACGGGTTTTGTTTTGTTTGTTATGGGAAGGTTTTGAAGGTTTTGAAAAATATTTCTTGTATGGGGTGTGTTTTGAAAGAGAATGAAAAGGTTAGTCTTCTTGAAATTGGATATTTTGATGACTTAAATAAGGGTTCTTGTAAGAAGTTTGAATATAGTTATGAAGTGAAAGTTATGAGTGTATTATATGGATTGAGTGAAGGGGAGAGGAATGAGTTAGAGTCAATTATCAAATCAAGTTTAGGTCTTCATGTAATGTGTAAGGTTTACGGATTTTGGTATAATATGGATAATCATTGCGTGTACATGGTTTCCGAGACATTTAGTGGGAGTTTGCTAAGGAAGGTGAGTGTGTTAAAGAATGCAATTCTTGAGAAGAATGGTGACGATAAGGTCAGTAATGCTGGGTTAGTAATAGTTGGTTCGGATGTTTGTCAAGCGGTGAACAATTTGCATTTGGGAGGATTGCTTCCGGGTTATTTAGGTCTTTCTTGTTTTGGTTTTGACGAGTTTGGTCATGTTTATGTTGATATTAGTGAGGTATTGGCAACGGGAAGGAGAGTTCACAAGACGCTTATAGAGATTATTGTTGGCACTGTTAGCGAAGATTTGATGGTAAAATTGATAAATAAAATAGTGGAAGATTGTGTTTTTGTTAGTCCAGAGCTATTGTTTGAGTTACTGAAACTGGATGATACTGTGATAAATTTAGGCAGCTCAAAGCATCATGTTGGATACGGTTCTGATATTTGGTCATTAGCTTGTGTAATTATTTCATTTCTGGTTGATAAACCATTCGCTGAAGAGATGCAGAATTATTTGAGTTATCTGGTTACTGCAGTCAGAGATGAAAAAGGTGTTGATTATGTTAGATGGTACATGGAATGGAGGCAAAAGATTATGATTCTAATTGAATGTAGAATGGGGTCAGAATTTATTAATGTGAAGGAGATTCTGTTTACATGCTTGGATTATAATCCAGCAAATAGGCCAGTTGCATCTGAACTGTGGAAAACATTAAGGGTTCTTGTGATCAAATCTGAGCTTGACGAGGTAATAGACTTAAAGCAGGAAATGGAAAAGGAAAACATGTGTAATTGCCTAATTCTTGGAGACCTTTGTCAGTCAGCCGACAAGATTAGAAACCAATCATCGAGGTGCACCAGTGATACTTGCGTTGTGGAAAATGCAAACCAAGAGGAGGCTGATGGTGTTGAAAAATTAGGGGCTGATAAAGATGTCGTTGAGGGCCTCTCCGGGGGTCAAGTGAAATGTATTGATCTTAAAGGACATCTTAATTGTATCACAGGGTTAGTAATTGGAGGTACAAATGCTGCCTGTTTCGCTTTGAAAATCTTAACACTACATATATCTTTCTTGAGCAACTTGGATATTCATTTTCAAGTACTTGATGCGTTTCAAGCTTATTTTACGTGTTCTCTTCGTTGCACTTTTATACTAGCTTCTTGGTACTAGTTTTATGTGTTTTCTCCTTTGCACTGTTCAAATTCTTTGCAACTTGATGATTTTAATGATTGTTTTGCGTGGATTTTTCTCTGCATAAAGCTTAGAGAAAGTATAGACAGTTTCACTACTTCTATAAATTTTTATGTGCCTTTTTCTGTCCTGTTCCCGATGAGCTTGCTTTTGTCAACATCATTTTCTTTTCCTCTGTTTCAGGTGGTTTTCTGTTCAGCTCATCATTTGACAAAATGGTCAATGTGTGGTCTTTGCAGGTACTCTTGTTAAAGCTATTATTTGTATAATTTGGTCCATCGTTAACAGGGTTTGAACTATATCCTTGCTGGACCCCTTTGTGGAATTAGCTTATGACCTATCGATTTTGGTCTTATTTCATACTTTGCTCCACTAATATTTTCCCAAGTGTGGACCTATAGATAGTCCATTCAATTTTTGGCTCAAAATATTGTTAGGAATTGGAGCTAAAGTCTCAATTGTGCTTTGTATGAAAATGCCTCAACTTATATCTCTAGTAGTTTGGTGAATCTTAAAGTATGATATATCTTGGTTTATCTTTTTCCCTTATCTGCAATTAGAATATATTATGGCATGGCTTTCACTAAAAGACAGAGACATCATGCATATTGCATGCGTACTAGATCAAATTTTCCCCCTTTTGCCATCTCTTCAGGAGCTTCCCTGAGTTACCCAACAATTTACAGGACTATTCTCATGTACATTCATTCAAAGGTCATGAGCAAAGAGTTATGGCTGTAGCTTTTGTTGATTATGAAGAACCACTATGCATTAGTGGTGATAATGGTGGGGCAATTTGCATTTGGCGAGCTAGCACTCCATTAACTGCAGAACCATTAAAGAAACTACAGGAGCAACAGGATTGGCGCTATAGTGGTATTCATGCCCTTGCTGTCTCTGGAAGCCAATATCTATATACTGGCAGTGGTGACAAGTCAATAAAAGCATGGTCATTGCAGGCAATTTTCTGTTACTTTCTCATTGTCATTTAGTTTATTCGATAGTGAAACTGAAACGCAGCTTCCCTTTCTCAATCTCCTTTCCAGGATTACAGTCTATCATGCACTATGAATGGCCATAAATCAGTTGTATCTTCATTAGCAATATGTGATGAGGTTCTTTACAGTGGTAGTTGGGACGGAACTGTACGGTTATGGTGCCTTAGCGATCATTGTCCGTTGGCAGTATTGGGGGAAGAAGCACCAGGAAATGTTTGCTCGGTTTTTTGTCTTGCTGTTGATGAGAATGTACTCGTTGCAGCTCATGAGAATGGTTTGACGAAGGTAATGTTGTGAATCCAACACAGATACAAAGTCTTGTTTTGATTAGGTTAGGATACTGATGAACATCAACCTCCATATATGTATACTACAGAAGGAATAGTATTCAAGTTAGTAGTAATTGTGTATTGAAAAATTTGCTGATGTTTTATTTGATACCCTTCTGCTTTTTGATTCAATTAGATTTGGTTTGACGATATTCTGGTGAAATCTGCACAAGAACACGATGGCGCCATATTCTCTGCCTGCAAGAAGGGAAAATGGTTGTTTACAGGCGGCTGGGACAAGATGATAAAAGTAAAGGTATGTACACAACATGTGAAAATAGCAGCTTGTATGCTGTAATCATGTATCATCAAAGGCTCTCATATCGGAGTTGGTTGATGATTTCACTTGATCTTTATACTGTAATTCATGGTGCTTGAAATTGTAGTGGCTTATAAGCCTAAGCTGCTGCTTTATAGGAACTATACAGAGATGGTGATCTATCGTCTGCTATTCCACTTGGATCTATTACATGTGATTCTGTAGTAACGGCTCTATTCTACTGGCAAGGAAAGCTTTTTGGGGGACAAGCTGATGGAGTTATCAAGGTACAGCCACACTGAAGCTCTTTATATTGGACAAGCTATCTGTGAACATATTTAAATGCTTCTTTGACAAGCATGAAGTCCTGATTTAGCTTATCAAATGTTTTCAGGTATACTATTCTGCAGTTAGATGAATTCTTGAAGGCACTTTTTTTTGACAGTTTTATCAATTATTTCTTTCGAGGAGCAACTGATTGTACCAAGTAGCCACTGTCATTTTTCTTTTGGACAAGTGAGGGAGCCTAGGGGAAGGAAAACTTCGCCCCTCAACGAAGAGTTTGGGGGGTTCGAGTCATAAAAGAAGGAAACGGACCAATATTGCCTCCTGGGCAGTTTACCATATCAAGAAAAAGACTGTCATTTCTTTAGGACAAGTGAGAGGGAGCTTAGTGGAAGGAAAACTTCGCCCCTCAACGAAGAGTTTGGGGGTTCGAGTCATAATAAAAGAAGGAAATGTACCAATGTTGATTCCTGGGCAGTTTACCATATCAAGAAAAAGACTGTCATTTCTTTTGTAAATAAATGTATATTATGACAATCTGCCCGCTTGATGATTTCGTAATGATTGATGGCCTGATGCAGCAACTAGCACTCTTGACTGAAGAAAGATGTATATGAAGGACAAATTAGATAGGAGTGTACACTACAGCTTATCTAATTAATGTATAGTTTTCAACTGATATATATATGTATAAACAAATCACAAAATTCACTGCATGCGTGTAAAAGATATACTAATATCTATTTTAGCAGTTTCTTTTATCTTTTAAACAGAGAATCCAAATAAAAATACCACAGTTCTTTGATAGAACTTCATCTGTCAAAAAGAAAAAAGAAAAAAAGATGTTGGTTCGATAATTCCTTTCGGTTTAAACCGAATAAGACACACCCTATAACCAACTAATTTATCTCTTCAGTTAGTTTCTATCTCATAATTCATAAATTGTAACATCAGAGTAATCTAACAACAAGGAAAATGCAAAAGAATTGATAATTTAAGGGTTCTAATACACCTATTACGTTATTGCTTTATATTCCTTCAAATTTGACTTTCAAATATAAACTAGGCTATGCTCAAAGCCAAATTCAGGATCAACTCTAAAATCAAAAAGCTTGTTTGGATGGTTGTGCTATTGTATTGTATCGTATTGTTACTTTAAATACTGTTTTGATTGTTATTTAAATTTTATTGTATCGTATCGTTAAATCTGTCGTTACGTAATGACAAAATGTGCCACTTTATGTAATTATCGATTTGGTGTGGTCGCGTTGTTACCTTGTCTCTTTCTCTCATCTCACCTTTCATTATTATTAAATAATTTTATTTTATCATTTACCATACCTTTTTATATAACAATTTTATCCCGTATCATAATTTTTCTTTATAATATTGCAAGTTTATTCTTCATATAGATGGTGCGTGATATCAACAAACAACGGCAAATGGTATAATCTATCCAAACATTATATTCATCAAATGATACAGTACAATATAATACAATACGATACATTATGAAACGATATGTAACAACCATCCAAACAAGCTGTAACAAAACAATACTAGAACCTTTTATACTTCCTGTATTACACTCTTTCCTTCTTAGTTTGTTATAAAAAATTCGAAATCTTTCTATACTTAAAAGTATTAATCTTTAAACCTTTTATTTTATGTTGATCAGCAACAAAAGATATTATAGTATCTTCCACTTGGTCATAAAATTTGGAAGTTTTTTTTTACAAATTTTATTTTCAAATATCTGTTTATTTTTAGATTTAACAAAATCTTCAAATTCCAAAAACAATTTTGAATTTTTCTACTTACAAAATTTCAAATTCTTTTCAAGTGAAATGCATATTCAAACATAATTTCAACTTTTAAAAATTACTAGCTTTAGGGTACGTGCTTTGCTCGTGTACCCATATTAATAAAAATAATCATTAAAAATTACATAAGTATTACTAAATAATATGTTTGAGTGATCAAATAAAAACAAATATAAGTTCCTGAAAATGATAAATGTTAACTCTATTTAGCTAGCTCAATATAAAAAAAGATGTCTTATTGTGATTTTGGAATTATCTTTAATTATTAGAGATAACTCTCTCTCTCTCTCTCTTTAGATTTTTAATTATATTATTATTATTATTATTATTATTATTATTATTATTATTATTATTATTATTTTGTTATAATTGTTGAGTATAATTTTCAAATATTATGCAAAAAATCCGAAGAAGAGGAAAATATTAGTATTTGAGTGGAAAATTAAAATTGTTCAAATATAATATCGAACGATTTATAGTTAAACAAGATTAAATGATAATTCTATTTAACATAAAATATATATATTAAAAAAAAGATCATTATACAAATATAGATAAATCAGTACTAATCGACATGGTTGCGACATAAATTGCATATAAATTTTGTGTTATGAGAATTATGCTTCTCAAAAAAATTATAATTACAAAGGCATATGACAAAGTCATGGTGATATTGTCTGAGTTAAGTGTAAAATGAACGTGCTTTAAGCATGTTTTTCCTTTCTCTTTTTTGTTTATTTTTCTGATTATATTTTAGAAAATCATAGCTCCGCTTTTACTCTATTAAATTGTGTACTATCTTCGAATGACTGAGTTGATGGTGCTTTTGAAAAAATATTTAATAGCATATTTACGTTAATTTATTTAGCAGGGATGGTGGGAACTTTGACTCCCCAAAACTAATAAATATTGATGGGAGTTAGTTTCAATATTAAAAAAAAAAAAAAAAAAAAAACAGGTATCAACTTTTTAAAAAGTGCAAATATATATATTTGTACGTTTCTTGTTTATGCAATGAACTAAAATTAATTTTAGTTGTTTTCAAATAAGGAGAATATTTATATAAGGTGAAACTTAATTAGTTTTAAATTCCTAAATATAGGAGTTTTTATATAGTTCTAGTAAGAAAAAATTTAATAATCAAAATTTTAGATGATTTTAAATTCCTAAATATTAGGAACATAATTATTAAATTACAATTTTGTTCAATATGAAATCTAATTTTAAGGGACAAAAAAGACGAATGACATTTTGTTAAGGGCCTTCGTGCTTTTAATATAACTAGCTTTAGTGTACGTGCGTTGCACGTGAACTTTGCGTGTATTAATAAAATAATATATAAATATAAAATGATATGAATAATGTGTAATAGTGATGTCAGTATATAAATATAAAATAATATGACTACTTTAGTGTTTAGATATTTTTTCAAACTTAAATCCTCTTTTAACCCAAAGCATTAACCAACATAATCTTTTATCTTAAAAAATTGAATTGAATGGTAAAAAGAAAAAGACTTAGGCGAAAAATAATTCTTCCAAAATCCTATAAAAGCATCAAAAACAAAAGTAACAACAAACTAAACTAAGAAAAACTGCCAAATGTTACAATAATATTCTGTAAAATGAAAAATATTAAGGGACTCACATGCTAAGGCGTAATTCATATCTCGTTTGGTGAGGGAAAAAACAAGTTACTTCAATATACTCGATATACTTTGTTGTGTTCGTTAAAAAGATCCAAAAGCTTATGAGATTTAGAATCGGCAACCTAAAACTTGGAGGAAGAAAACACAAATATTAGATAATACCAAGTTAAGAACATAAAAGAAGACGGTAAATAAAAGCAAAAGCATTAATAGGCAATAAAGGAGTTTGAATCACAATCAATCGGTTAAGACTTTAGCAACCCTTATGAAAATATCAAACTTGTCATATGGCAAAACAAAAAGGACATAAAAGAGAATTCAAAGCAAGAGTCTTTTCAAGTTAAAACAGAAATCAACGACGAAAGACAACAAGGTAAAAGGCAAAAAAAATTGACTCTTAGAGTAATAATGAAATCTTTAACTGAGAGAAACTAAACCCTAGTGTCATTGAAAATTGGTAACGTTTCTAATGCTTGTTAATAGGGATATTCATTTATAGTAAATCTCCTACTTATTCTCTTAATTTTTTCCTTTTGAACCCACCAAATTTTTGATTTTCTTTAGTAGAGATATTAAATGTTTCCTACTTATCCTCCTTTTATTTCTTCTTTTCTTTTTTTAACCTACTAAAATCACCTTTTGTTATGGATATTAATTGAAGAAGTCGTATTTCACTTATTCTCTTCTTCTTTTTCCTTTTTTTTGGTCATAAACAATTTCATTTTTTCTTCCACAAAAATACATTATTAATATTTACAGTTTCATCTAGCTTAAAATGCACTTACAGAGGAAAAAAATAGCGAACGACATTTCGCTAAGGGCCTTCGTAC